TCCTGCCTCAGCCTCCCAAGTGCTGGGATTATAGGTGTGCACCACCATGCCCAGCTGTGTTATTTGATTCTTTAAAATGGGCTTACATGTATGAAATGAATCACGGTACTTACATGTAGAGATCCATAGGAAACTCCTTCATCATATGTGTGACAATAAACTCTACCATCAGGTCTAAGAGGGGGAAAAAGAAACCCTAGATCAATTGGAATGAAAGCCACACCTTGCCTTTGACCTGGGAGCCCCTCCTGAGTGCTGCGCGCTTCAGCCACGCTGACTGGCGCCCACCACCCGCGCGCACCCACATGCACTTCAATTTATTTTGTGTGAGATGCTTTTGCAACACTCTTCACTCCCTGCCACTCGCAAATTGGCAAAAAAATCAGGTCACTCTCCTACTGGGATACCCTGAACTGCCAACAAATGCCAGTTCAAGGGATATTTGTACAGACACTGCGTACATGGCATTCATCACTCATATCTGCCAGACCAAAATCTTACTCTAAGACCAGAGCAATAAGGGAGCAAGAGAAGAAATTATTGATCACATTCTTATCACTAGAGACTTAGCTCTAAAGCTCTATCGGCCTATCTCCTCTCACCATCACAATGTTTGACAGACATTGACTAAAAGGGTCTATGGGGCTAATTATATAGTCTTAATTACTGTTTTTAAAATCAAGCAGATTTAGGAACTGGGGACGAACATCCAGATGGAAGTGGGATTAAGAGTTATGCCAACTCCCTGGAGAAAAAGCAGAATTTTGGATAAACAAAATTACCCAAGATATAACCCCTTCCTATCAGCTTTGTCAGCCCCTGTCCGCTTAATGCAATCAAGAAGTTTTATGTGTCTGCAGGCTGAGCTCCAAACCTCCTGACCACTTGACACATCAACTGGGAACAAGAAGGAGGTCAGACTGAAATCTTGATCAGGAGTAAAATATGGTGCAAATTTAAATTATGTATCAAGTTCAGAGATAATGATTTGGCTCCCTGGAAGGGTTTTCTCCTTTGAATGACAGCACCCTTTACTGGGCATTCTACTCAGTGGGGTTGTTTCACCAAACACAGTATTAAACATGTTTTCTCAGGCCAGCAGAGAAGCCTAACTAGCAACTTCTCTGAGGAAGAAGAATCATAATCGTGAGAACCTGTTACTGCCTTGGAAAATGGTGACTTCATAATATTGACTCACCCAACACTGCACACACTAACGGTCGGCAGGGAAGGTTCTTGTCTGCTGCCTTCTTCCTGTGTCTCATAGGCTTCACCACAAAAAAGTAAAAGGCAATTAGCAAACACCTGAACTGAGAACAGTAGCTCATCATCATGTTCCTCATGCAAATAAAGTCACTGCTGCAGACTCACTGCTACCTCTTCTTCAGCTTTTTCTAGTGGCTGAGGTGGGGTGAGACACGGAAGACCTGTAAAGGCTTCTCAGTTATCACTGCAGGCCGGGGGCAAAGGGACAACTCACAGCAAGGCCACTGCCCCCAGGGCACTGGAGCTTCGCACAACAGAAAAGCTGTTGTTTTACTTGTATCTACAACGTGCAAGTGGCATTATTAACAACAAAAGAGGTACACTGATTGGGAGGGGGAGTGATACAGGGTCTCACTTTGTGGCCCAGGCTGTTCTCCAACTTGCAGTGATCCTCCTGCCTCAGCCTCCCAAGTGCTGAGATTATAAGCATGTGCTACCACAGCCAGCAGTTTTATTTTAAATAATGAAATAAGAAAAAGAAGAGGAAGTTGGGCACAGTGGCACATGCTATCCCAGCAATCTGGGTGACAAGCTCATATTCAGCCTGGGCAACATAGCACAACCCTATATCAAAAATAAATAAGTAAAAAAGGGCTGGATATGTAGCTCAGTGGAAGAGTGCCCCTGGGTTCAATCTCCAGTGCCAAAAAAGAAAAAAAAAAAAAAAAAGAAGAAGAAGAAGAAGAAGAAAGAGAGGAGGAGGAGGAGAAAAGGAAAAAAAAGAGGAGGAGGAAGAGGAAGGAGGAGGAGGTTAATGGTAGCAACTATAGAGGCAACAACAGTAGCAGATGCAAAAACTACTCCAGAAATACCTCGGCGTGGTATTTCTCCACATACCTCCAAGCTTTAAGACACTCCCTGATCTTCCATATTCTATACACGCCCCCTTCAGATGAATGCATCAAAGCGCCACCTGGTCTCTTCCAAGTTACGACGATGCCCCACTGTGAACACACTCGTCCCCTTGTTGAAGTCTATGTTTTTGTACTCTTTTTTTTTTTTTTCTTTTTGGTTTTTTTTCCGGTACCAGGAATCAAACTCACAACCTTGCACTTGCCAGGCAGGCGCTGTGCCGCTGAGCTAAATCCCCAGCCCCTATGTTTTTGATGTATTCCATTACTGCAATGGCTACATGGCTGTGGATCTTTCTAGCCTCTCTTGAACAAGAAAAGCCCCCATAATACATTTAAAAAAATCTGACAAGGGTCATCCAAGAACACTTTGGTACAACTTTCTGTCCATATTTTTCTAGTAGAACCAAGTTCAGCCCAACCCCATCCACACACAAAACACTTCCCACTACAAAAAACAGCAGCAGAAGTCACACCTACCATTCTATGTAAGTTCACTCGGAAATTCATGTTGTCATCATGCAAAAAAGCATTGGCATATTGATCCTAATAAAAATGTAGAGAAAAAAGAAAAACATGACAGCTACACTTACGAAACTCAGTTTATAACCCAGCACACTATCTACAAATCCTTGGACTTTAAGAACCACTTTCAAGCAGCAGTTCAAAAGCTGACAGGATGAGCCTCAGCCTCTATGTCAAACCCTATTAAGCCATAAATTTCTCCTTGTATCTTTAGTCAGAAATCTCTGAGAGGGGGCTGGGGATTTAGCTCAGCAGCACAGCGCCTGCCTGGCAAGCACAAAGTCGTGAGTTTGATTCCCGGTACTGGAAAAAAAAAAAAAAAAAAGAAATCTCTGAGAAAATTTTTAAAATAATCAAAATTAAGACCCAGGAATTTGAGGCAAATGTTGAAAGCAATCTGTTTTCTGATTCCCTCTTCCTTCCCATCTGCCCAAAGAGTCAGCTCTGTTTGTGACAGCTTGAAGGTCTCCGTGGTGGTATAGGACACATGTGCAGGCACCACATAAGACTCCTGTTAGAAGAAAAAAGGTCTGTGCTCTGCAAGGAATGAGCTTAGCACAGCAGGAGAAAACAGCCACACACGCAGCTTGGAGCAGCAAGACCTGCTATCCCTGGGTTTCCTGAAGACGATAGAAAATAAAAAAACTTCTCACCAAGATTGCTAACAAGTACCCATGGCCCTTTCCCAACACCTGTGCTGAAGTTGTGACATGCCTAAGACTCCAATGACTAGGGCCTGTTACAATTTGGGAAAAACAACTTCTTCAAAGATTTAACTAGAAAGATTTTTAAAAGCAAGTAGACCAGCCCCACTGCTAATAAGCAGCTCTTCTATAACCACCTCCCCGGGCTTGGCCAAGGAGGTCATCCTCCCTCAGGAAGCACACAAAGGCAAAGTCTGAGAGACTGCTCTCCACATGGAACGCCTCGCCTGTTCTTCTGAAGAGGAAAGAGCAGAGTAAGGAATACTAAAAGAGGAGTTAAAGTATAAGTTTAGCTCTCAAGTGCCTCAAATCCTGTCATCCTCATACGCCACCACAGTCTGGGGTCAGCCCAAACGGTCCAGCCCACGGTGCCTTCTCAGAAAACGGAAGCACTTTTTCTCCCTTGGCTCTTGCTCTCCACCCTGGGACACCTGAGCTCCTTTCCTTTTTGCTAAATGAAAAAGACCCAACATGAGCAGCTTCAAAGGGGTAGGGTTTTTTAAAGAGTTCAAATCTCTTGTTTAAAACTCTGAAGAGTCAGAGCCCTGCAGTTCTCAACTGTGGCAGTCATCACATCACAGTTCATTATCACCGCGCCAGTAAATGCTGACGGAGCCTCTCCTGCGGGCCAGGCACTGAGCCAGCAGCGGGCAAAGAGACACATCCCTGTGGTCAGAGCTCACTTTCTCACGGAGGGGACAGACAAACTTCCCTCCCAAGTGTTAGGGCCCTAAACAGGAAGCAAGAGGGCTGGGCACAGGGAAGGAGAGGACAGGTTCCTCCCAGAAAGCTGCTGAGACCCACCTCTGCAATACACGTAAGGATAATCAGACAGAGCTTGCCGCTGTGAAGCCTGTGTTCATCTGTAAAGAAAAAACATCATCCCGGCAACATTTCAACAGAGAATAAACATGCATATCACTTTCTCCCCTGGCCCAGTACTCACGAATGAAAATCGAACTACTGAGAGTAATTCTTCCTTCCCTCTTAGGTAAAAGAATTCCCCCAGATGATGTTTTTCCTTAATATCCTGGTAGTCTAACACCTTCTTGAGAGCCACCTAACCCTCGTAATGGTTTTACTGTCATGAACTATGCCCCTTGCCTCTAGGTCAATACCTTCTTTCCCCCAGTGCTGGGGATTGAATGCAAGGCCTTGCACATATCAGGCAAGCACTCTACCACTGAGCTACATCCCTAACCTCAGCCTTTTGCTTCTGAATAGTCAGATCCATTCCTTTTTCCACCCTTCATCCACCAGCTATAAACACCATCATCAGTACCCATGTACCCAAAATCAAGAAAGAATCCTAACTGTTCACAGCAAAATGGCAAGAAAATCAGAAAAAAATTAACTAGAGACCAGCATTCAGCCCAAGTTTCTCCTTGTATTGTGCTTGTTATTTCTAACCTAGAAATATGTGAACTCTTGATCATTTTTCTTCCTAACAAAGTTATTCATCCAACAAACATTCACTTTGCACTCCCATGTGGCAGGCACTGTGCTAGGCACTAGACACAGACTGCACTGAAGGATTCCAGTTACTTACGAAGGCAGAGGGTTGGGGTACAGCTCAGGGCTGCAGCACTTGCCTACCATGCACAGGGCCTAAGGTCTGACCCTCAGTTCAGTGAACAAATAAGGCAGCAATCTCTACAGGCAAGACCTAAACCCACAAATACACGCAAAGAAAAAGCTCCTCTATCACTGCTAATTAATTATCAGTCAGCAAAGCTTATTTACTTTCCAGGAACTTTGTGGGTAAGGGGGTGAAATGAAAGTAAGAAAAGGGCCATGTTTCATATCCCAAATAAAAGACTCATGATTTTCAAATCAGCAGGATCCAGACTGAGGTCAATTCTAGAGAGACAACCTTTCCACAGGTTGCAGTGCTATCAAAGTTAGCTAATACCACACATTCCGACATTACCTACTTCTTCCTCAGGGGCATAATCTATCGATTAAAACCTGACAATGGCAGAGCTTAAGAGGAGATGAGTCCTACAAATACATTCATCTCTCCTCAGAAACCAGCCAAGAAAGGGGGACAGAGCCAAGAGAAAGTTGCCTCTGTTGCTCCTAAAAACACAGTGTGATCCTGGTGGCCAGGTGTTATGGCTTGGATCTAGATGTCCCCCAAAGCCTCAAGTGGGTGTAAGTGGGGTTTTCTGAGGTGGCTGGCTCTAGGTTTGTGATGCTGGGATTAAGGGTGCCCCCATTCTGGGTATGAGTGCTACCGAAGGGCAGGTAGCCTGGACGGCAAACAAGGGATAGAAAGAGGGCCGCTGCCACTGCTTACTGCTGCTGCCTGTGTTGCTGCTGCGTCTCTTCTGCCACTTCCTGCCTGCTTTTTGATGCCCCTCAGCCACGCCGCCCTGCCTTGGAGCCAGCGACTTCGGACTGAAACCTCTGTAAACTGAGCCAAATAAACCTTCCTCCTTTAACTTTAGGTGTTGGGCACTTTGTCTCAGCAACAAGAAAAGTACCCAAGACACCAGGGCATGATTCAGTAGGCCAGGGGCCAAGACAGGAAGACAGTTAAGCCAATGAAGCCACCCAAGGGCCATTTTTTTTCCATTTTTATAATTAACTCCTCATCATACCTAACTTTGCCCTTTGCCAAATTTAGGCTACCTGGTGGGAAAAACGTAACCAAGCCTGACTTTAGAGACATTGAAACCACCCACATTGAATTATTTTTTATTTTCTTGGCAGTACTGAGGATTGGACCCAGGGTCTTACACATGCTAGGCAAGTGCTCTACCGCTGAGCGATATCCCCAGGCCCCCATACTGAATTAATTAGCCCATAATTTCAGTTTCTATTCTACAGACTGTGAAGTAACCACGACAAAGAGGCTTACATAATCATGAAAGCTAAAAACGAGTTCCAAGAGCCTCAATTCACTGGGTTGTACCAAGTAATGCTAAAAGTTCCATTTTCTGGGTCACATCTTATAATTTCTCTCTTCTGTAGCTGCTGCAGTAAGCAACAGCCTCAGGAAACTCTGACACACAGAGCCTTGTTATCACTGCCTGCCGGATCTCACGGGTCAAGTCTCAGAGGTTCAGCCACCTCGTGGCTCCCAGTGGGCTGCTCTGTGCTGAGAGCCTGTGCTGGGCAGTATCTGGATCTATCTCATCCTTGTGGGAAACAGTCTTAAAAGAGCACACTCACATGACAGAAGAGGCAGGAAGTCTCTGTCTGCGAGGTGGACTCTGCAACAGCGAAGGCAGTACTCCGAGCACCACAAGGGTTAGTGGTGCTGGCTCACCAGGCCCTGGCAACTCTTCACTCCCATCTCTGTTTCTTAGCTCTTCTACCTCTGCCTGCCAACGTTTCCTGCTCACTCGGAAAGGCCAGAACCCGGTCTTCCCCTCTGACACAACTCAAGCCTTTCACTTCACTCAAGAACTTCTCAACCCCCTCAAACCAGAAAAGTAACCCTCACCGAGCAAATAAAGGCCTGCTGAAGCACATTAAGCGTCTATAGGAAGACAGGCCTTCCTGTCATGGCCCCTGGCCTGATGCCTCACAAGGCATTTATCTCTTCTCATACGAAGGAAGGTAGCAAAAACAATTGTATTTTAATGACTTTGCTTCAACAGTGCAATTGTCTTTTTGATATCTAAAAACCTGGCATTTGTCCACAGACTATAATTTAATAACTCAGAATTCATCTACTGAACAGTTGGTTCCTAAAATAGGATTTAAAGGGTTTTTTTTTTTGGTCTTTTTGAGTTCGCTATGTAGTTCTTGAGCTCACTGGCCTTGAGCTCACTTTGTAGCCCAGTCTGGTCTCAAACTCTCAACAATCCTCCTGCCTCAGCCTCCTCAGTGCTGGGGACTACAAGTGTGCACCACCACACCCAGCAAAGATTCTTATAAGAAACAGGGTATGATGGTGCATGCCTATAATCCCAGCATGTAGGACGCTGAGGCAGGAAGATAGTGAGTTTGAGGCTAGCTTGGGCTACACAACAAAATCCTGTCTCAAAAAACCAAACAGATTGTCATAAAGAAGGTTTTTTTCCTCCTTGTACCAGGGCTTGAACCCAGGGCCTTGCCCCTGAGCCACATCCTCAGCACTTTTTTTGTGAGGTCAGTTTGGGGCAGGTGGGACAGGGCCTCCCTAAGTCATTTATCTGCGCTAGCTGGGCTCAAATTCTCAATCCTTCTGCCTCAGCTTTCCACACTGCTAGGATTATAGGTATGTACCGCCACACCAGGCCAAAGGAGACTTAAGGAAAGAATACTGCATACAACAATTCACTAGAAGTTATTAGCTTTAAAGAATTTAGGAGAAAGGACTTCTACTTTCTAAGTTAACCATTGCTAGAATGTTTTAATGTTTAACAAGTAGTATTTCAATTACTTTTTGTTTGTTTGTTTGTTTGCTTTTCCAGTACTGGGAATCAAACTCACAACTTTGCGCTTGCCAGGCAGGCGCTGTACCGCTGAGCTACATCCCCAGCCCCTCAATTACTTTTATAATGAGGAAAAAAATCCTTCTAAATGGGAGAAGCCCACTGGATCCACCTTTAGGTGCCAAACAAAATGCTAATGGGCACGGGCACGGCTGTGGCGGTGGGCACTGCTGTGGCGGTGGGCACGGCTGTCGGCCCAGATACTCGGAGGACAAGGAAGGAGGCGCGCAGGTGAGGCAGCCGGAGGGACACAGGGAAACCTGACCTCACAACAGTGCTTTGAAAAGGGCTTGGGATGTGGGTTAGTGCTACAGCGCCTGCCAAGCATGCAGAAGGCCCTGGTTTCAATTTCTAATACCTTAAAAAAAAAGTTCACTAAAATGCTAGGTGTTTTGATCCTCCACAAAAGGAGAAGGAGGAGAAAGAGGAGAGAGAAGAAGGAGGGTGATCCCTGCATGACTCTTTCAACTCATACAAGAAGTATAATTAAAAAAAAAAAAAAATACAGTGACTGTTTACATTTTTTTAATTTATTGCCATTAGCCTCCCTCAAGACACCTGCCCTGGCTCTCAGCACAGTTACCCCACCACCACCCCTGCCAGCTCACGAAGCAGCTGGGGAGTCCTTTCTCATGAGTTCTTCTGTTTTGCTGCCACGGCTGCCGAAGTGGATCCAAAATGGTTCTCTTGTGGGTTTATGCCCAGATGTCCCCCAGAGCTCCGTGCACTCGCAGGCAGGCGTCTCGGCAGGCGACTGGATTACGGGGCTGAGGGCTGCTGCTGTGGGGGGTCTGGTTGGAAAAGGCGCCTCTCCCTCTTCAGCTAGCCCACCCGCTCCGCCTCCGCCCTCCGCCCGAGAGCTGCTCTTCCTCGCGAGGCCACTGTGCCACGCGCCTGCTGTGGGGCCAGCTGACTAACACGTGCGCCACAATAAAGCGCTCCTTTCATCTGCAGGCGGTAGGGACCGCGTCTCAGTGACAGGAAAGCGACTGAGACACCTTTCACGACCACTTTGACTATGGGGAAGAACCAGACAGAGGGCAAGGTGTCAGACCTAGTGCTCACGGTACATGAGGACACACCTTGATGTTTTCACAAGGCTGCCTTTCCCCTGGATGCCACTTGGCAGGAGCATTCACCAATTTTTGATCACACCTCATGAAGATGAAACAGGACTTCCAGCCAGGTGTGGTGGTACATATCTGTAATCCCAGCACTTGGGAGGCTGAGGTAGGAGGAATGCCATGAGTCCAAGGCCAACCTGAACCATAAAGCAAGACCCTATCTCAAAAAAAAACAAAACAGGACTTCCAAGAACTACTTCAAAGAGTGGGAAGAAGCCCGCCGTGGTAGCTCATGCCTGTAATCTCAGCACTCAGGAGGCTGAGGCAGAAGGATCGCGGTGAGTTTAAAGCCAGCCTGCGCTACATAGTGAGTTCTAGGCCAGCCTGAACTACACAGCAAGACCCTGTCTCCAAAAAACAAAATTAAAAAAAGGAGTAAGAAAGATGGGATAAGTGTGCTGGAAGGGAGGGAGACTATTCTGAGTGGGATTAATGACAATGTGTCTTTTACTGCAGTAAAATTCTTTAATTTAAATGTTCACTGTATATTTCAATCACACCTTGTGTATTAGAATTTTTTTCATTTAAAACAACTGGCAGAGCCGGGTGTAGTTGCACACCCCTGTAGTCCCAGCATTTGGAATGCTGATTCAGAGGATCACTGCAGGTTTAAGGCCAGACCTTACCTCAAAACAACAACAACAGGAGGAGGAAAATACTAGGTCAGGGCTGCAGAAGCAGTTCAGTGGTGAGAGTGCCAAGTTTGAGCCCAGCCTGGGCAACTCAGTGACACAGCAAGACCATGTTTCAGCCAGGCGTGGTAGCACACACCTACAACCACAGTATTTGAGAGGTTGAGGCAGGACTGCCACCAGTTTGAGGCCAGCCTGGACTGCACAGCAAGCTGACGGCCAGCCTAAACTGCACAGTGAGACACTGTCTCAAAAAAAACCAAAAATTACAAATTAAAAAATGGCTTGGGATATAGCTCAGTGTGAAGGTCCTCAGTTCAATGCCTACTATCACAAAAAGAAAAAAAAAATCAAATTTTCCCATACCCAATCTTCTCCTCCTTCCACTCTGCATTTCCAGGATGAGTTCTAACACTTCTATTTTCAGCACTAAGGAGCAGTCCCTCCGAATCTCACCTCTGCCTACTGTACTCTGCACAACAGTCTCCTAACTCTCACCACAAGCTGATGCTTCAGTTCTTGTCCTCAACAGGGAATTCCCTGAAGTGTGCTAATCCCCCGACTTCCCACACAGGCGAGTCCGCATCTACTTACCAAGACTCGCTAAGATTCGCTAGCACTTGTAGAGACCAATCTCTTTCTCCTGTTCTATTTCTGAACACTCCCCTCCAGCTTCAGGTTTTCCTAACACCACTTAATCACCGTCTCACAGTGAGAATCACTGTTCTCCAGCAGTCAGGACCACGACCTTGCACAGGAGGCCCCAACAGTTCATCTTGTCAAAGCCTCACAGGTTAGCGCTGCTCTCTCATTCTAGCTGCCTGCCACACCTCCTGCTTCCCGTGCCCCCGAAATAACATGCCTTACCTTTGGTATCTTGCATGACAATAGAGCTGTACTTTAAGAAAGTTATCAGCAGATTACTGGTCTGTACATCTGCATCCAGTGGGAGTTCCACAGAACTTATAACTGGAACAGAAAAGATAAAATGTGCTTAGCCCATAACATATTTCCACCTAACACTCCTACCCACGGAGCCAATTTGCCAGCAGGCCAGAAAATGACTAAATAAGCTTTTCCCACAACAGAGGGGGCCCAGGCACTTACCACAGAACTTTCATCTACTCTCCCTAGGCACCCAGAGCCCTTCCCGCTTCCCAGACTAACCCCACAACCTTCTCCTCCATCTAGGGTCAATCTAGGGGCAGTGCTTGTCTCCCAGCACGCCAGGAAGGGCCCGTGGATGCCCATTCCAACTCCAAGTACCCCAAAAGGGTCAGGGCCCTTCTTAAAGGCACTGTCATTTCTACCTAAAAAAAAAAGATCTTACTGAATATAAATGAACTCTGCTTTGATCAGTCTCTTGCTTAAAATACATCAAGATTCCTTCCTAATAAGGGAAACTCTTCCTCAGATTTGAGAACAAGCCTTCAGATTAGATGTACCCACCATACATATTATGTTTTTTTTCACAGTGCTGGGTCTTGGGCATGTGAGGCAAGGACTCCATCACTGAGCTACATTCCTTGGCTAAATACCCAAGATGAATGTGGCAAAAGTTAAGGTAAAACTACACTCAAATTCTCCCCTTTAGTCCCTTCCTCCTGAACTGGAACCTGAAAAGTAAAACCAGACTGCAACAGGAAGACATTATTGATGAGGACAGCCCGGAACCCAAGGTTTATACATCCAGCCGCCGTTCCTAAGACAGATCTCCAAACTCCTACTCTCTGAGTCACACTCCGAGTGAACAGTAAGGGACCAGACCAGGACTGACCCACATAGAACACAGACCTAATGTGGTTCCCAAGATTCCAAGACTTTAAATTATAATTAGTCACCTTGTTAAGTGCTTTTGCAGTAAGACATAATATATAAACAAAAGGAGCCTCACGACAGCCCAGACAAGCTGGAGAATCTATAGCTGAACATGCAGCTGAATCTGGGATATTATTCATAACATGTACTCATAACCATAATGGATCCCTCTGGAGTTATTATGATGTATGCTGTGAATGTTTATTAACAACGGGAAATATTTGCATATTATAGATCTGTAATACACAGCAAGCACAGCAAAAAGCCTTATGGGAAGAAATTAACAAGCCCAACTCTTTGGCCCCAAGGACTAATAAAAGATAAATATACTTTCACGTTAGAGTACTAAAAGGGCTCAACTCATGTTAGGGTTAGGGGCCTGAGATAGTCATCTCAAACCGCAGCCTCTTCCGACGGCAGAGCACGTGAGCATGCCTTTGTCCAGCACAGAGACCGTCGCACTGGTAAATGGAACTTCTCTCCTACTTGCACACAGCAATAACTGGTAAACTATCTTATATAATATGTAAAATTTTAGAAGTGTATGTATTTTTAGTTTACCAAAGTCCTCCCATGCCAAGGCGGAGTTGTCAAATGTCAAGTCTGAGCTGAGAACAAATGTTACAGCTAAACTGCTGGCTTTTAAAAATAATAGTCCCAGTGACACACCTTTAAATATAACCAGGTTACTGAGCAGAACTGTGATTAAAATCAAAAACTGAAAATAAGGTTGTAACACTTAGGACCCTACAGAAAGGGAGTGAGTGAGAGCGAGACAGGAACAAGAGCAAGTAGAGGAACAGAATAAACCCTCACAAACTAAAACCTCCTGAGGAAGCATCATTCCTTGATCTTGGCCTTCATAATTCTTCCTAGCAGCTTTTGTCAAGAAAGACAGTCATCTGAAAGTGGGATGACTTGATCTTCCCACCAGGAAAAATAAAAGCTCACTGGCTTTAGGTAAGTAAGCGCAAACCCTGCCATTGCATAATCAAGTGTGTGGGTGCAAGTGTTCACAATGAACAGTTTGAAAGGCAGTTCTCCAAAGCATCCAAACCCCAACATCACATGGAAATGAGGTATATATTTATATATGGCTTTCGATATCCATGGCAACCCGGCAGGTTTCATCCTTAAAGGGAAAGTACAGTAATTCCATTGGCTTATCAAATGACCTGAATAAACAGACAAGGAAGCAATCCTCACTACTAGTTCCTTCTCATTAAGATATTTTGGAATTTGGCTTTCAGTTCTAAGAAGATCCAATTTGCTGCCATGGATCTGAATACAGACGTATGGCACTTCTTTGCCATACTTCCTTGTATAGCTTAAACTGCCTTAAAATGCTTATGCCACGGTTCTATATAAAAATTCAGGGACTGAGGATGGAATTCAGTGAGAGACTGCTCATGTGCCACGCATGAGGCAGAGTTTGGTCCCCAGTACAACACACTTCAAAGAACAGTAACGGCTAGCCGTGGTACATGCCCAGCTCTCTGGGAGGCTGAGGCAGGAGGATATCTAGTTTGAGCCCAGCCGGTGATGCTTAGAGAGATCCTGTCTCAAAATAAAAAATAAAAATGTGGTAGGGATGTGCAAATGCCCTGGGTTTGATCCCAAATACTGATAGTTATAATAATAGTAAAAAACAGTAACAGTAGCTGTGGAGGAGGACATTCTTTTTTTTTTTCTTGCGCGGTACTGGGGATTGAGTTCACGACCTTGTGCTTGCCAGGCAGGCGCTTATGCTGCTAAGCTAAATCCCCAGCCCTGAGGAGGACATTCTTTAGTTACTCTTTCAGTGTACTACCTCAGGCCTGACCAAGCCACATGACTTGGTTTGGAGGAAGTCTGGTTCTGGAGGAAGTCTAGCAAAAGCATCAGTGAAAAGGAAATGAGCGCAGGACCTGTGTCCCCCTGGAAAGCCGCTGGGACAACACTACATGCTTTGCTGAGATGTGCCCAAAGGAATGGTAACACGATGGCTAGCTAAGTCAAGTCTCATTCCCATGATAATTAAGCTCTGTTGTCCTTGCTAAACCTGTTGCTATCCTCCCATTTGCCCTGCTGCTTCCTTTGTTCTTTCTCAATAAAAGGTTACTGAAAATGGTAATGGAGGCTTCAGTCAGAGAGGCTGCAAGACCCCTCAACCCAGAATTTTGCCTCTCTTGTTTTTCTTGTCTCTCTTACTTTTCCTTTTCATCCGTTGGGACCTGTCACCCCAGTTAGAACGACAGGAAAGTTCAGGAGGACACACTGCTGGATTCTGAGATCCCTTTCAGATCTAGCATACCATGATTCTAAGACCATTCCCTGAGGACAGGCTAGAGTTATAGAGGGGATTTTTTTGGTTTGGGTTGGGTTGGGTTTTGTTGTTCTTTTTGTTTATTTTTTGAGGCAGGGTCTCACTTTGTAGATCAGACTAACTTTATACTCACTTTGCAGCCCCTGTTGGCCTCAAACTTGCAACGATCCTCCTGCCTCAGCCTCCCAAGTGCTGGGATTATAAGAGTGTGTCATCACACCCAGATCTTGTTACTTAAAGAAAAAGCACTTAACTATCTTTTCCAAAGTTTTCTTTAGAAATCCTAAAGGACATCGATATGCTTCCCAAATTGGTCTCAAACTCCTGAGCTCAACGATCTTCCCATCTCAGCCTCTCTGGGAATACCGGCCCTCCACCCCTATCCAGCTTAGGCAAATTTCTTAACGGAAAGAATCAATGACTGTGCTCCTTGTTCAGTACAGCTATGCTCACCCCAAAGCTCTAAGACCGTATCAATCAAGGACACAAACATGCTGAGCTCACCATCAGAGGACGGTGGCGTGGTCCCAAGCGGTGTGACTGGAGTTGTTGGAGTGGGACTCACCGGGGTCGTCACCAAGCCCATCTCTGGATGACTCTGAGAGAGGACACAGATGACTAAAAAAACAGAAAATCCAGTTCTCCCCGACCATGTCCTGCTGCCCGTCCTCACTGGTATCCCTGGTCTTCTAACTAGACTGCCAGCGCATCGAGAAGGAACCTCTGCGTTAGTTCGCGTGAGGCCCTGATTACCTCTGCTGCTCACTGAGCGCCACCAAGAAGCTCCGTGAGTCTGCTTTCCTTAAGCAACGAGGCTGCCACTGTCTGAGCTGCAGAGCCACGCTAATAAAAACTGGGGTAAACGGGCTGTTTAGACGATTTACATGAAAGCGGGCATCTGCAGTCCTACCAGAACGAAGATCCACCTACCCTGAGACTCTTCTAATGACCACACAAGTGACTGACAGACACGGGTGAGCTTAAAAAAAACAGTCTGTCTGTTCTACAACAGACAGCAGTGTGTGGGGTGCGAACAGAGAGAGACACAAAAAGATACTCATCACGACCGAAACAGATGACTCTTCTGTACGTGACCTTCCTGGCTATCCCTGCCACCTCGACTCGGGAGAAGTGAACTGAGAGCAGCTCGTACTGGGAATCAAACTCAGGACTTTGCGCTTGCCAGGCAGGTGCTGCTCCACTGAGCTATATTCCCAGCCCCTCTTTTTATTTCTTAGTTAGTTAGTTAGTTAGTTACTTTTGGTTTTTTGAGACAGCATCTCACTATGTAGGCCAGGCTGGCCTCGAACTCACAGAGATCCTCCTGCCTCTGCCTCCCAAGTGCTCGGATTACAGGTGTGCCCCACCACGCCCTCACACCCGGCTCTTTCTTTTTTATATTTCAAAATAGCATCTAAGTCCAGCCTGGGCTCCAGCTTGTAACCCTCCTGCCTCAGTGTCTGAAGGTCGGGATTACAGGTATGTGCCACCACACCCAGCAAGCTCAGCTCTTTTTAACCTCCCTTAACTTGCAGCTGTACCAATCCTTTACCTCCCTCACCTCTTCTTTAAGACTCAGTTATGGAGGGGGAAAGGAAAGAATTGAGATGTGTTATGCACACGAGCCAGCTCCCCACAATGAATGATGATATCACGCACTACAAATAACAATTTAAATTTAAAAAATAAAATCAGTGATGGAACCTGGAGAATAGATGGGACACAGAGAAAAGTAGATAACTCTCTTATGTTAACAATCATGAGAACTGTTAAGTGTCCATCAAGGTATATCCCTAAGCAGCATACTGCATTTAAAAAAAAATGACCTTATTTTTTGGTTAAAACTCAGTGGATTCCACACACATCTGGCCATGGAGGGGAAAAAAAAGCATAAGCAGACATTCCTTGAAAAGAAACCTACATACATATTTTAAACAGTCTGGCTTTAAGAAAAAACACTTTATCAATTTTTTAAGATAGCTTTCATGAACTTGAGTTCTTCACCTACTTTAGCACCCCCTGTGCCAGCTAGAGAGGCTATCCCTCAGGCACGTGACACAGCACTCAGAATTCTATGTCTTCCTGCTTTCAGAGCTTATAGACCATTCTGTCTGTTAATAGCTAACCATATCCTGGAGAGGATATTTTTTACTTCTCTGCAAACTGGAACAATAAGGTAAGTGATGGCCTGTTTTATTTTCAGCTGTAAGTCCACAGTGGTTTGGAGAGCAGAAAGCCATATATAAAAAAAAAAAAACAGAGCGAGGCGTTGCAGTACACACTTGTAATTCCAACACTTGGGAGGCTGAGTCAAGAGGATCTCTGAGTACGAGGCCTGCCTCGGATACACAGTGAGTTCAAGGCCAGCTGAACACACAGCGAGACCCTGTCTCAAAAAATTAATTAATTTTAAAAACCACAGATAATACTGGGGCTTTCTTGTGAACAAAATGAAGTAACAGCAAGTCCTTGGGGTTACCAGAACCAGGCAACTTTGCACATCATTACACCAACTTACTTCAGAACCTTAGTTGAGGTCAACTTAGTTGAGGACAGCATGGTGTTACTCTTACTACCACTTACAATGCAAAGTAGAGTTTAGACAGCTATGACCAGGGGCTTTTTAATGGAAGGAATCTGCACAAAATTCAGGGAGAACAATGGGTCGGAGTTTTCAGTGTAACCAACCTGAGCTAGCACTGTGATGAAGTTGCGATTCAAATGAACAGCTTCGTAAAGTGCCAGAAGAATGGCCTCGTTGGTTCTAAAGAAAAGGAAAACAAACTGGAGCGGCTCTGACAGCGAAGGCATCGAACACTGTAGCCATCAAGGGGAGCTCCCGGCATAGCTCCCTGGGCCACTCCCTGGACTTCCTGGTGCTCCCGCGCACAAAGCACACCAGGGAGGACACCAAGTCCTCCAGACCTGCTCTTCCTGCCTCCAGTCACTACTCCCTCCCACTCCAGTCCGGTCAGAACCCCCCTGGCTCAGATACTCAGCGCGCCGCCCCTTCACTCCTGAGACAGCGGGAACAGCTATTCAGTTTCTTGGGGCTCCATACACAACACCCAAACAGAGATTGCTAAGGGTCTATTTCTGTTTAAAACCCAAGGAACATTTGCTAATGTCACCAAAAAAAGTTCCAATCTGTAAGAGAGCATGCAGAAGTAACATTTCGCACTTTCGTATCTGTCCAGGGAGCTCACACGGAAGTCTGAGTCACTCCGAGAATACCAAGCACTTACTGTACTGAGATTTTCTCATGGGCATCTGCTATGAACATGCTGCCCACCTGTGGAGAAAAGGAGAAGTGCAGACTTTATGATAAAGGCAGATGTGAAAGAGCTCTATGCCGCTGAAGAGCTCTATGTTACCGAAACCTTTTTTCCCCCAGTGGAGATGAAACCCAGGGCCTTTGCATTGAGCTACATTCCAAGACCTCTTTTATTTTTCCAGACCTTTTTCAGTGTTTTATTTTGAGACAGGATCTCAGTAAATTACCCAGGATGTGCTCAAACCTGCAATCTTCCTGCCTCTGCCTCTCAGAGTGCCAGACTTCAGATGTGTGCCACCCCTCCTGGTACCTATAAAGCCTTTAATCAGTGTAAACCACACTGCTTCCAACAGGGGGGAGCTTAAAACTCTGAACAGTCAGTCACATCCATCTAAATCAGCCCACTTTAAAAATACTATCGCCAGGTATAGTGGCGCATGCCTGTAATCCCAGCACTCGGGAGGCTGAGGCAGGAGGATCATTGCAAGTTCAAAACCAGCCTGGGCTACAAAGTGAGCTCAAGGCCAGCCTGAACTGCACAGTGAGACCCTGTCTCAAAAAGACAAAAAATAAAATCCTAAGAGACCATAAGTAATAAAATTATGAAAAATTACTGAAGCACCGTAACTTTAGATGGGCTTCAAAAACAACCCCAGTGCCTTTGTCCAGCCGTCCTTTTAGTGCCTGTTTAGTTAACATACAACCAGTGGACTGAGCCAGCACACCCTCATAACCACACCTCTTCTGGAAGTTGCTTATTTGCTGTCCACAATGAGCTCATATTGACCATTACAGAAAGCCAGCCAGCGTCCTCCAATTAAAGCTGTCTTCAGGGGGACACCTGAGTTTCAGACCAGAGCTATGCCAGGTCCACTGTCCATCTTTCAGATAACAGAGCTTTTAGTTTCTGTCCTTCGTCAGGGCAGACAAATAAGTAAAGAACGTAAAGTGCCTCTCACATGTGTGTTAGAGGCACCAAGAAAGATACCAACCCCTTAAAAATACTTCCCACTCTGCTTACAGATGCCCAAACAACGCAACTGGAGCTTCACTTGTTTGGTACAAAACCTGATTAAAAGTTAAAAATCCTGAAACAATATAATTCTATCTTAAGTTGTATAATCAACACCAATACAAAATTCCTATGTCTCAGTTGGAGACACACGCCTGTCATCCCGAGGCAGGAGGATCACCAAGTTCAAGCCCAGCATGGGCAATTTAGCAAGACCCTGTCTCAAAATAAGGAGGGAGGTGTAGCTCAATGCTAAAGTCTGAGTTCAATCCCCAGCACTACACCTCCCCTCTCAAAAACCATTCATGTGTCTCTAGCCAAAGATGCCACTCATTCATGCCTCAGAGTGAAGAGTTTATCAGGTTCTTTCCTGAGAGTAGGCTTGGAGAAGGGAAAAGGGAAGGCAATGGGGAGAAAACGGCTTCTTCGGGGGGAGAGGGGAGAGGGCATTTGTTTCTTGCAATGAACTCAGAAACTGTCTTGCTGTAGGACTGAATACGTGGACACTAATGCCCAAAAAGATGGACTGCTTGAATCTGTCTAGATTCTAGGACTTCCTAAATGTACCTCTGAAGAATTAGTTCCAGATTATCTGGCCCCAAATGCCACTGCTTCCAAAGTTGAGAAACCTTGCTCCGGAGTCTGACAAGCTCGAGAGTAACCTTCCTACATCCTGAACCTCTTGCCCCAGAACCCGGCCTTTCAAAGAAACAGCTCAGACTCAACGCACAAGCCTTGAACCCCAGTGCTGGCTCCTGCGGATCCACGGCCACAGCAGACTACAGAAGGGCACTCAGGGTAGGATCCGACCAAAATGCCCCTATTCTGTGTTCCACAGGGCTAGTCTCCAAACAGAGGCAGCTTTTGAGAAGGCAGAATTCTGAGCCTGGCATGGTAGTGCACGCCTGTAATCCCAGCACTCAGGAGGCTGATGCAGGAGGATCATTGTGAGTTTGAGGCCAGCCTGGGCTATGTAGTGAGTTCAAGGCCAGCCTGAATTACAGATTGAGATCATGTCCCCAAAAGCAAAAGAGGGAAAGCAGAATTCTGACTTATGCACCAGGCGTGGTAGCGCATGCCTGTAATCCCAGCACTTGGGAGGCTGAGGCAGGAGGATCATTGCGAGTTTGAAGCCAGCCTGAACTACATAGTGAGACCCTGTCTCAAAAATACAAAAAAAAAAAAGAACTCTGATTTGTGTACCTTTTCTGTAGCAATTTGGGGGTAAAAAATCAGTCTCACAGATACCAAAGTTCCCCCTCCCTTATCTCACCTGGTTTGGGAACTTGCTAAAGAAGACACAGTACCCAAAAAATATGCTCTGAGCAGCCTCTCCCCTCCAACATTGGGACTTCTGAGCCCAGAACTGCTACCCTGCAGACCTCTTTTATTTCGAGTGGGACAAAACCCACACAGGACTTACCATGTTCGTTAGGGCAGAGAGAAAACCACTCTGGTGCTCCTCTTCCTTGTCTTTATACTGTCTGAACAAAGAGAGCTGCACTCAGGCTGTTTGTCAAGTCCGTCTCTGTCCCTGGCACGCGGGTGGTCAGGAGAGGGCACTGAGGGAAGCCTGCGCTCAGAAACTAAAGCACTATCACCGCCCGGCCCGGACATCTCCCTGCAAGCTCACAGGCACCCTCTGCTCTCGAGGCACACTGCGCTAAAATGCCAGGCCAATTTGGGAAGAGACTTAGAAAGCAAGCTGCAAAAGTGTGAAACATATGGCTGAACCATTTATTTCCCAAACAGACTTACTTGAAAAGTGTGACAGTAAAATTGCTTTAAGGCTGTAACAGTAAAAAATCTTGTTTGTTTTTGAAGGAGAAGGAGGAAAATCAGGGAGCTAAAACATTTGTAGAAATGGGACAGATCTGAAGTCCCAAACCCAACTGTGTGTGAGGGAAGTCCACAGAGGAACAAAGACCATGCCTGCCCTTTTCCAGGCTTAAAGGTATTTCTCGTCTCCACACTTAGTTGGAAGAAAAGCAAGCACCAGCAGAGAAAGCTCCTAGAGAGACGGGAACCCCGGGAAGCTGAGGCTAATCACCAACGAGAAAAAGGCGTCCAGGCTGGAGGTAGAGCTCGGTAGTCAGCATGTGCTTAGCGTGCATAAAGCCCGGGGTTCAATCCCCAGGACCAAGGAGAAAAAACTGAAAAAACACCTGATCAGACTAAACCTAACTCAATGCTGTTTTCTCCGTTTATTTATGTATTCGCTTCCTTACCTATTTTGTGTTACTGGGCACCAAACAGCGCCTTGTACATACAAAGCACTCTACCCCTGAGCACACTCCCCATTTCCTCGATCCCTTTTCCTTTGTGGCACATGGGACTGAACCTAGGGCCTTTTATTTGCTTGGCAAGTACCCTAGATGACCTTGGCCCTTTTATTTTACTTTTGAGACAAGGTCTTGCAATTGCCAGAGCTGGCCTCAAACTTGCAATCCTCTGGCCTTAGCTACCAAGTAGCTGGAATTACACACCTGGCTACCCCCTTTTACTTTTTTTTTTTGTTTTTTGTCTCTTGTTTTTCTTCTGGTACCAGGAATCGAACTCACGACCTTGCGCTTGCCAGGCAGGCACTGAGCCGCTGAGCTAAATCCCCAGCGCCCCCCTTTTACCTTTTAAGAGTACAAATAGCTGGACATGGTCCATGCCTATAATCCCAGCACTGAGGAGGCTGAGGCAGGAGGACTGCTGAGAGTTTGAGGTCAGTCTGGGCTATGTAGTGAGTTCAAGGCCGGTCTGGCCTACATAGTGAGAACTTGTCTCAAAAAAAAAAGAGAATACAAAAAATTGGTGCTCGGCTGGGCATGGTAGCGCACTCCTGTAATCCCAGCACTTGGGAGGCTGAGGCAAGAGGATCGTTGCGAGTTTGAGGCCAGCTTGGGCTACAAAGTGAGCTCAAAGCCAGCCTGAACTGCATAGCGAGACCCTGTCTCAAAAAGACAAAAAAAAAAAAAAATTGGTGCTCTGAGCTTTTTTTACATAGAAAATGTAATTGGGCTAAACAGAAAAGGCCTGCTTATAGCTAGAAATATGGTTAAAATGTTCCGCAATAAAATACCAAAGTCTGCAAAAGAAGATGCCCAATTGCTTAGACTAAAGGTACATGCTAACCTGGTGGCCACTCTTCCATGGTGTCAAAAACACCCCTGCTAATACCATCAGCTAAGCTACTGCAGGTACACCTGCATGCAGCTACACCTCTGAACATGCAGGGGAGGGCTAAGAGAACTCTAACAAGTCTATTACCTACTGAACCAATTCAAATGAAAAAGGTGCATTTACCTGTTGTATTCAGATAAAGCCTGAGCAATCACAAGCCCCATTCCCTGGAAGAGAAAAAACAGCAAACTGAAATAAGCAATGGACCCTCCGGGCTAGTGGTGATGCTGTGACTCAGCCAGGGAGAAGGATAAACCCTGAGGTCCCTGCCCCAGGAGTGCTGCCTTGGAGCTAATAATGAGAACAGAGATTCTGAGAGGCACTGTCAGAGCAAAAAAAGAATTTCTTTGGAAACCTTACTTAATGCTTCCAGACTGATTTGATTTTTTTTTTTTTTTTTTTTTTTTTTGAGACAGGGTCTCATTATGTAGTGGCTTTAAACTCTTTATGTAGCCCAGGCAGACTTCAAACTCACAGCAATCTTCCTGCCTCAGCCCCCCGAGTTCTGGGGTTACAGACATGAGCCACCACAACCCAGCTCCAGGTAAAACTTTTTTTTTTTTTTTTGTCTTTTTGAGACAGGGTCTCACTATGCAGTTCAGGCTGGCCTTGAGCTCACTTTGTAGCCCAGGCTGGTCTTGAACTCGCAATGATCCTCCTGCCTCAGCCTGCCAAGTGCTGGGATTACAGGCGGGATTACAGGCATGCGCCACCATGCCTGGCTCAGATAAAACTTTAAATTGAGTAACAAGGTGAAAAAAAACAGCTGGAGACTACTGACAATTTCACTGGAATTGTTTTTACTTCCAAAGAAAAGATTAAGCTAGAATATTCAAGCAACAAGCCTTCAAACATCTTGGAAAGTCACAATAAAACTGACAATGAGTCACATGCTAAATGAAGATGCACACAGACAAGTCACTGCCTCAGACCACAAGGCAAGAAGAATTAGAAGACACATGGTGGCACACACCTGTAACCTCAGCTCTCAGGAGGCTGTGAGAGGAGGATCACTGTGAGTTCGAGGCCAGCCTGGGCTATGTATCGAGACCCTGTCTCAGAAAAACAAAAGAAACTCCAGAAAAAAGAAAAAAAAAAAAAGAAAGAAGCATCCAATAAATGTTAAAATGACCTATCAACATGTCCTCAGAGCCGGGCGTGGTAGCATATGCCTGTAATCCCAGCAGTCAGGAGGCTGAGGCAGGAGGATCGTTCTGAGTTCAAGGCCAGCCTGAACTGCACAGCGAGACCCTGTCTCAAAAAGAGAAAAAAAAAAAAAGTCCTCAGAACCTGTGAGGTGTGACACAAAGGTCAAGTAAGGTCACATGGTAAAACGTGTGCATTTTTTAAATATGGGCAAAGAAATAAAGCCAGACATCTGGTCAGCTTAGATCTACTTATATTCAAAGATCAAAGCCAGGCATGGTGATGCACGCCCATAATCCCAGCACTGGGGAGGCTGAGGTAGGACTGCTGTGAGTTCAAGGCCAGCATGGGCTACATAGTAAGACCTTGTCTCAAAAAGACAAAAAAGAAAAGAAAAATGTCAAATGTTATTCTGCAGACTTTCAAGGCTATCCACAGCAGACACATATTATCTTTCATAGTTTAGTCAACAAGCCAGGCTGTGGATATCATATCGCTGATTCCACAAGAAGGAACCTCCCAGAATTCAGTCATCTGTGCTTTCTTCCTCTTGGATACGTAACTTAACCAACTCTGTAGCACAGCCAGCCTGGGCACACTGCAGCATGAATAAGCAACCACTTCATCACGATCACCAAGCAAATGTCTCCTCTCGAACCTTCCTTCCTTGACACTACGACAGCAGCACTGATGCTCTATCCAGTTCACTCTTTACAGGCAGATGAAATTGGCACAGAAACCCTCTGCTCTAAGTGTCCCCTGAAAGTAAGGCCCCTAAATGTGAGCAAGATAACACACAAAATCCAGATACTCACATTGAGAGTAGCCTCGTCGTCCACGATGGATAGCTTCACAATATAAGGGTTCACAGACTGTTAAACGAGATGAGAGTCTAAGTGAGTACGACCTCTTTAAGAAAGCCCACGGACTATTTCAGGAAGTGTTCACAAAAATGCTTCTAGAAGGCCTTTTCTTCTGTGGTTTTTTTGAGATGTCTCATTATGTACTTCAAGCTGGCCTTGAGCTCGTGGCGGTCCTTCTGCCTCAGAGCCTCAAGTGTTGGGACCACAGACGTGCACTGCCACACCTGGCTATGAAAGGCCTCCTCTCTATGGTGAGGTTCCTCATACCCAGGGCAACCGACCTTGCCTGCTGACTCCTCGCATTTCCAGTAAATCTCCCAGCACGTGTGAACAGTGGTCAAGTACACACATGTTTGTTTGTGTGCACATGCACAAACATACACGCACACACATACATACACACACCCCAGTTCTGCTCTCCCTGCATTTTCTTCTAGACTGAATTAGCTCAGGCTTGTCCACCACTTCTCCCCTCTTTCCATCTTGTTTCTAAGAAGCACGTGAACACACCACAGAACTCACTTTGTCCTTCCCCAATGAGTTACAAGGAGAGCTATCTTTTGGGGGACATAAAAGCTTCTCTGCCATAAGGTGCATATCCATGAGTTGCATATCTAACTTACATTCTCATCCCAAAGGCTCCCTAACCATTTCACAAACTACATGGGAAGACTGGCTCACCCACCCGTAAAACAAAGCCACCTTGGGGGTGGGAAGTGGCAGCTGTTTAACAGCCAGAGAGGCCATTTATGGAGATCTGATACCCGAATAACACCGCAGGAGAACTGAAAAAAGAATGCAATTATAAAAGCAACAATCTGGTCAGGACACTTGGATTTAACCACTGTCCCATCGCTTTTGGCACAGGGAGATTTCTTGAGTTTTTCTAGACCCAGTCTCAACTGGGCAGCACATGGAAAGGCACATGTATTTAAACTCCTTAAATAACTGGACTATCTCCTACCAGCGGGACAGGAACCAATGACCGGCTCACCTTGAAAACCACCCACACAGTATGTGAGGCAGATCTCACATGGATCAGGCACTAATTCTAACCCAAGGGAGGGAAGAAACAATAGTTCTCAGACTGGCAGTTTTCACAGCTACCAAGAAAGCTCATTACTAAGAAACTTGAAAACCCATCTGAAAGGCTAACCCCCCACGTAGACCTCATTTAATCAAGTTTCTGAGGATGTCTTTCACATGTCAGCTGGGAATAGAGTTTTCTTAACAGCCAAAATGTGAGGTTTATGTAACACAGACCAAGGATGCAGAATGCACTGACAAAAGGAAGGCTCTCTACATGTCCTCCTTTAGCCAACAGTCAAATCCTGCCGATACCACGAACTTCAGGCAACGCCCACACGAGCAGATCCCTAGGAAAGCAAACCATCAGCAGGCTGCCCCACAGGTGCTGCTGCCATGACAGCAATGCTAGAAAAGCAGACCATTATTTCCCTGTCATAATTTTCCAAGCCCTAGTACCTTACTTTCTCAAAAGCAGACTGCGTTAGGTGATAATATGGGTCATCTGAATACCAAGACCAGCCTGCACTTTAGCAGCAGCTAGGAACAAAAGGTGGCTGAAAGCAAAGATTTGAGTTCTAGATCCCCTACTTGTTAATTATAAAAAGTTAGACACATTAATTAACCTAAACTTCAATTTCTTCATCTGTAAAAAGTATTTTCTGTCCTGGGTTGCTACAAGACTTAAATTAAGAGACGTAAAATACTCTCTTTTTTTTTTGAGACAGTATCTCATAAAGTTGTCCAGAGAGAGACAGAGGGAGAGAGAGAGAGACACACAGGGTCAGGGTCAGGGTCAGGGTCAGGGTCAGGGTCAGGGTCAGGGTCAGGGTCAGGGACAGGGACAGGGACAGGGACAGGGACAGGGACAGAGATAGAGACAGAGACAGAGACAGAGACAGAGACAGAAGGAGTGAAAAGGCGAAGGCAGGAGAGGACAGGAAAGGGGGAAAAAAATATAATTTTGTAATTTCTGAGAAATATCACGCTAAGGGCAGGAGCTGAGGTCTGAGTCACTTCAAGGCACTTCCTCCCAGGATAGTGAGGCAGCCTAAAAGGTCATGATCTTAATGCTGTAAGGATTTTTACTCTCTGGTGCTGGTTCTCTCTAACACACACATAAACACCTATGAAGCCAGTCGCTTTTTCAAACTACTTTGCACACACAGGACAGGATTACAAACTCAGTGACCCTTTACAGCATCACTCTAACACTGTCGTGCTATCTTCGGCTGCACCTCCCTGAAAGCAACCAGTCCTGTCTAACACTGTCCTCCTGCCTTGATCCAGTCTAAGTTTTGCTTACCATTTTTACAGTTCTTCCCGAGACATTTTTTTTTTGCCCCTTCTATCTCTGTAGATGAAACGATCAAAACAAGACGCACTATCTGAAGTGGAAGAACTCCGCACATACTGCACGACGTCTTCCCATCCCCTCTCTTCCTTACGCCTAGCGCCTTCTCCGCCTTCTCCGCCCCTCCCTGGGCACCCCACCCACCTGACACCCCACACCAGGACGGCAAGGTCACAGCTTTCCCCGTGCATCGTGGTGCCAGCAGCCAGAATGCTATTCTGCCCAGCACAACTTCGCTACCAGTTTTCATAAAAGTTCACAGGCTTTGGTTTTAGTATGTTCATCTGGAATTCTTCATGTTTCTGTCAAAAGGCTTCCTGCTCCACTGTCACCAGGCTTTCTTAATGGTTCTGGTGAGTGACTGACATCAAAAGCTGCAAAGCCCAGATAAATTATGCCCACTAGCTCACCCTGGCCCACCATATTAATTCTTCTGGGAGCTTCTGACAGACCATAGATGCACACCTCTCTCAGCAAAAGGATTGTGTCCAGCTCTTGGCCACGTCCAATTTTTCAGGCTGACATTTTAGGGGCCCTACTGGCCTGGGCCAGGGCTCAGTTTACATTTGGACACCAACTGGTGCCTCGGAACGGCCGGCACCCACCAAAGTGCTCAGAAGTGCTCCGCACTGACGCTGGCACATCCCGTCACATGCAACTCAGCTCTAAGTTTGAGCAGCACTTTTCCTCAGCTATTTTTTTTACCGTTAGAATAAGGCCCAGAGGCTTTTGGTGCATGACAGGGATCATAATGGCTACCGTGCCAGCCCCTCCAGGTCACCAGTTAAACAGTATTGGTGACAAATTATATATTTACTAGTGGTTCTATGCCCCATTCATCTGTTCCTCCAAGAACCTGAAAGTGATCATCAGCCCCTGGGATTTATAACACAGCTCCACATATTCCAATCCCTCCTTAAGTTTTCTTTCTCACAGCCTCCCTTTCCTTCTTCCATTTTCTCCTTATAAGAATAAGGTCCAGCCACACATGGTGGTGCACACCTATAATCCCAGCACTCAGGAGGCTGAGGCAGGAGGATCACCACAAAGTTCGAGGCCAGCCTGGGCTACATAGTGAGTTCAAGACCAGCCTGAACTACATGGTGAGACCTTAATTCCAAAAAAGAAAAAAAAATCCAGATTTGTGTTACCTATCACTTTCAACCTGTCTGAATAGTCTAACTATGAACTCTATCAAAAATCACTATGTGCTAGGAGGGCAGCATGTAACCACAGCTACTAAGAAGGCCACAGCAGGGAAATTTCAAGTTCGGGACACTAAAGAGAGACCCTGTCTCAAAATAAAAAATTTAAACGGGATGGAGCTACAGTTCAGTGGCTGCGCACCCTTGGAGCCAACCCCTAGAACAGTCAAAAAATAAAATAAAATCACTAAGCAAGAGCAAGAAGGTCAAAAAACAAAATTCTCTCTCCATCTCTCACAGCACTGCTCCTTATGAAGTGAAGAAAGTCAGGTTTCCTCAATGCAGAGCCCAACTTTGGAAGGAGTCCTTGTGTGTAGGACTCTGTCAGACACTTCCTGCTCCTTACAAACAACCCCCAGTGAGGCCCTTGTCCTTCCTGAGTGCATCCCTTCCTTTTCGTTGTATTCTGCCTTTGAGAGGAATCAACCTCACATACCAACCCATGTGTAAATCTCTGGGTTCTGTTCTTCAAATTAAAACCTACAATGTGCTAGGCACGGAGGCACTTGGCTACAATCCCAGTAGTGACACAAACCTGCTGTAAGACCAGCACTCAGGAAGCTGAGGCAGGAGGATCTCTGTGAGTTCAAGGCCAGCCTGGACTACAAAGTGAGTTCAAGGCCAGCCTCTGTCTCAAAAAAAGAGACAAAAACAAAAACAAAACAGAAAAAGACTTTCAAAAACAGATGCATTGGGTCAGTGGTTTCTAATTCTGGATGATAATCATATTGAATTGGGGATCTTTAAGAAGATATCCCAACCCCCTCCAAACAAAATTCTGATTTAGTGTGGTGTATCTAGAATAAAGTCCAATTTTCTTTTCAGCTGGTCATGGAGGCACCTGCCCATAATTTCAGCTATTCAGTAAACTAGAGCAGGAGGATCGCAAGTTTGAGGCTACCCTGGGCAACTTAGTGAGACCTGGTCTCAAAATAAAACTCTAAAAAGGGAGAGATGGGAGGGCACAGGGAACAGTAAGTAGAAATTACCGAGACGCGAAATGTACATGTACCAATTCCCCAAGATGAATGCAATCTTATGTATCATAAATGTATACAAATTTTTAAAAAGAAACTAAATAAAAGAAAATTTTAGAAAGGGCTGCGGATGTGGCTCAGTGTTCCCTGGTTTCAATCTCCAGTACTGCAAAACATAAAATAAAATTTCTCTATAAAAAATTCATAGGTGGTTCTAATAAGCTAGGTTTAAAAACATTAAGAGATATTTATCAATTTTATTAGAAACTATACTACAGAATTCCTTTAAACAATTATATTCTCTACCCCACATACTGAAATTAAAAGTTTTGTTTATCAGACAGGGATAGAAATGTATGTCTGCAATCCTATCTACTCAGGAGGCTAATGCAGGAGGCTTTCAAGTTCAAGACTGGCCTGTCCTACACAGTGAGACCCTGTCTTAAAATAAAATGCTTTTTAAAAGTGGTGGGGTAGGGCCAGAGATATAGCTCAGTGGCACAAATGCCTGCCTGGCACCCAAGGTCCCAAGTTCAATTCCCAGTACCAAAAAGTAAATAAATCAATAAAAGTGGTGGGGTATAGCTCAATGATTGAATGCTTTCCCAGCAAGCACAGAGGCCCTGGGTTCCATCCCTCATAACTCAAGGAAGAAACTAAGTAATCTTTACATTGGTCAGGGTGGTGCATGACTGTCTGTAGCCCCAGCACTCAGGAGGCTGAGCCAAGAGGATCACTGTATCTTCAAGGCCAGCCTGGGCTACATAGTACATTTGAAGCCAGCCTAAACTACATGGCAAGATCATCTCAAAAAAAACTACTCTTTATGCCATTTACCATGAACATGTCTTCTGTGTTAAGCAAAGTACTTCAGGAATGGCCATGTGCAAGATTATTAAAAACAACAAATGTCCACTAAGGGGTCCTCTTACCTCATATTTTCTGTAGTTTACCAGCAAAGCCAAAAGGACAACAGCATCATACCCATGTTCCCTACGACTTGGAGGGTGGGAGAGTATCTGTAACAAGAACCATAAATTTTTAATTCCCCAGAGCTAACTCCTGGTTCCTGGGAAAACAGACCAAGAAAATTTGGGATAGTTGAAAGTGAATGCCTATAATCCCAGGCCTCTAAGAGGCTGAGGCAGGAGGGTCAAAAGTTTGAGTCCAGCCTTGGGTAATTTAGCAACTTAGTGAGACCGTATCTCAAGATAAAAAAAAAAAAGCACTGGGGATATAGCTCAGTGCAAAGGCCCTAGGTTCAATTCACCAATACTGCAATGAAATAAAGAAAGAGGGGCAGGCAAGATGGCACACGCCTGTAATCCCAGCACCTGGGAGGCTGAGGCAGGAGGATCCTTGCAAGTTCGAGACCAGCCTGGGCTACAAAGTGAGTTCAAGGCCAGCCTGAACTGCATGATGAGATCTGTCTCAAAAAGACAAAAATAGGGGCTGGGGATTTAGCTCAGCGGTACAGTGCCTGCCTGGCAAGCACAAGGTCATGAGTTCAATTCCTGGTACAGGAAAAAAAAAAAAAAAATTTAGAAAAAGACAAAAATAAAAAGGAAGGAAGAAAGAAAGGGAAAAAGGGAAGAGGGAAGAAGCAGAGGGGGAGGAAACTTGAAGAGATGGTCTATTCAAAATACAGAGCTTGGGGCCAGGGATTTAGTTCAGTGGCACTGCAACTGCCTGGCAAGTGTGAGGTCATGAGTTCAATTCCCAGTACCAAAACACAGAGGTCACAAGAAAATTGACTCACCTGTAAAATTGCTTCAAATATGCTGTTGATCATTACATACTCCAAGATAGTGTTCTGGCTGATATTGTCTGTCACCTGAATGCAATGAGAAGTTTCTGAAGTCTACTGAGGTTCTCTGACACATACCCTACTGTGCCAGCTAAATGAAACACAGGTGTTGCAACAGTCTGTTAGACACTCGGCACAGCCAAGGCCAGAGTCCACAGGCAGACACTGTGAGGGCAGACGGGGGCTAAGGGAAACCTCCTGCAGCTGTGAGCTTACTCTCTCATACCCTCACAAGCACTGGCTTCACAGTTTTTCAGATTTCATTCCTCAAATGCACAGGAAAAGGTTTATGAATCCAAGTCTTCAAGCAGCAGCAAAGAAAGGGAGTCATCTGAAGTCAATGAACAACACCCCACCTCTTCCTTCCAGCAGGAAGTACAGCCCCGCCTCCAGGTATAAAATCAAAGTCAGAGCAAATAAAGCACTCGGAATAACAGGGACCATTTCAAGAGAGCTCTGACGAGAAAGAGGCACAGGACAGTCTTGGAGACGGTAGCTCTCCTGCAGAGGCCCTCCCACAGGGCTCAGCCCCCACAGCCTGCAGCCTGCGAGCCCAAGCTGCAGAGGCGCACCAGGGTGACTTCCGGGAGGCGGGGCCCAGCCACTAACTTCCTTCAGCACATGCAGACCCTGGACATTGCAATATCCCAGGAGAAGGGTTTTCCCTCTTTCCCCTCTAACCATGGGCTCAACTATTCGAATAAACTGGCCCCTGTATTAATTAATACTCTGACAAACAGAGATGGATCACTTACGGTCACTAAGCAAAGAAGAAGTTTCAGACATAAACTCTTCAGACTTTCAGAGCCTTCTGCACAAAGCAATGAATCCAAACTCTCCATCAAGTTCTGAGAAAGAGAATAATGCAACATTAAACCATACGGAACAAACATCTACACCCCCTGCTTGTCCAGCTTGGGGTTACAGAACACAAGCTAACATGAAGAACACACACTGCTCACACACCAAACCACATCGGTGCTCTCTACACCGAAGCCTTACAAGACGAGAAAAAATAAAACTTCAAACTAGGTATTTTGGGGGTAAACACTTTGGTACAACCAGACAGAACAATAAGGAATTTAGCCAAATGAATGTTTTCAGCCTGCCAGGTATATATAAATCTTTAGATTAGAATGAGACAAGCTGAAAAAAAGGAAACCAGGCTGGGGATAGAGCTCGGCAGCACATGCACCTGCCTGGGAAGTGCAAGGTCCTGAGTTCGATTCCCGGTACCAAAAAAAAGGGGAAACCTAGTTGGGTGTAGTGGTACACAGCTATAGTCCCAGAACTCTGGGTGGCTGAGGAAGGAGGTTCACAAGCCTAGTCTAGGAAATTTAGTGACTTAACAAGGCCCTGTCTCAAAAAAAAAAAAAAAAAAAAATCAACTGTAGCTCAATGTGAAGGCCCTGGATTCAATCCCTACTACTGTGCGCGCGCGCGCACACACACACACACACACACACACACACACACACAGGAGAAAAAAATGTCAATGCCTGGAGAACTTCAAGACATGTACCCCCATTCTGAAATGAAGGGAATGGGGAAGAACAGACACAAGAGAAATGATGAATTACATTTGGACATGTCAGGAGGTGCTTACAAGATGTGTGAGTGAAAATACACAAATGTTTATGGAAGGTACAACTCTGAGACTCAAGACAAGATGTTAAAGCTAAAGAGAGTTTCATAGCCATCTGTATATAGGCCATAGTTGGAACTACAACAATAAAGGAACTATCTGGGATTTTATCATGAGGTATATATGCACTGTAAGAGGGCAGAATTAAAATATGACAATACGAAAAAAAAATGACTATGTATTAAATCTTTGTGTATTCATAACTGTATATTAGTAACTTTTTTTGGTAACCTAAGCACTGTAAAAATGCTTTGATATAGGCATTTTTTTTTCTTTTCCTTTTTTTTTTTCTGTCATTTGAGACCAGGTCTTGCATGATCACTGTGTAGCCAGGCTGGCCTGAAATAAGTGATCCTCCAGCCTCAGCCTCCTGAATAGCTGGCCTTGCAAGCAGGCAGCTGAAATTACAGGCTTATGAAACCATGCCAGCCAGATTTTTTTCTTGTTGTACTAGGGACTGAACGTAGGGGGCCTTCAGACTGAGCTATATCCCTTGCCCAATTTTTATTTTTTTATTTAGAGATAGGGTTTTGTTAAGGTCACCCAGAATCACCATCTTCCTGCCTTAGCCTCTCAGAGTGCTAGGATTACACCTATGTACTGCCATGCCTGGTACCCCAGCAGATTTCTTTTGTTGTTTGTTGGTTGGTTGGTTGGCTGGTTGGCTGGTTTTCTGAGACAGGGTCTCATTATGTACCCCAGAATGGCCTCAAACTCATGGTGATCCTCATATCTCAGTCTTCTGAGTGCTGGGATTACAGGTGTGCACCACACCTGGCTGACTTAAATTAAATTTAGTAAGTGATAGTAGTCTAGTTCTACAAAGTTCCTATTAGAATAAAACACATTTAAGATAATATCAAACACTGCAAGTCATATACCTGATATGGGACTTATATCCAGAATATGTAAGGAGCTCTTACAATTCAATGATAAGATAACCAAAAAAAAAAAAAGACAACCCAATCTAGAAACGAGCAAAGGATTTTCTTTTTTTTTTGTCTTTTTGAGACACGGTCTCGCTATGCAGTTCAGGCTGGCCTTGAACTCACTTTGTAGCCCAGGCTGGTCTCAAACTCACAATGATCCTCCTGCCTCAGCCTCCCAAGTGCTGGGATTACAGGCGTGCACCACCACGCCCGGCAAGCAAAAGATTTTAATAGACATTTCGCAAAAATTTTAAAAAAGTATGGGACAAACAGATGAAAACAAGTGTTCGTGTGATATGGACAACATGAACCATAATGGCATAGTTACTCCAAAAAATGGTACAGCAGCCCCACGAATATTAAGTAGACGTTGAAGTGTCTGTCTAGACGCCCCCACAAGCCTCATGTGCTCCTAAGTGGGCTTCGGGGAGGTGACTGCATCATGGGAGTGGACGCTCATCAATGGGTTTGTACGCTAAGGACTTCACCACTAAATGTGACTTGGGACCGGGAAGCCTGGTCGGGGCGGTCACTGTTTGAGCGGCCTGGAAGGGTCTGTCTCCCCCTTTCCTGCTGCTGCTCTATGAGCTGTTTCTCCTCTGCCAGCCCCCTCTATGATGCCGCCCCGCCTTGGAACCAGCTGACTATGCACTGAAACCTCTACAAACTGAGCCAAATAAACCAGGGCGCCGTGTCTCAATGATGAGAAAGTAACGAGCCGGGCATGGTGGCGCACACCTGTAATCTCAGCACTCAGGAGGCTGGGGCAGGAGGACTGCCATGTAAAGAGGCCAGCCGGGACTACACAGTGAGATCAAGCCCTGAACTAGAGTGACACCCTGTCTCAAAATAAAAGTAACTAAAACAACAGAGCTACCACATGACCCAGCGATTCTGCTCCCACATATATGCCCAAGAAGACTGAAAACAGAGCCACACAACACCTCACACACAGACACGCATGACTAGCAAGAGTCAAAATGCTGCAACAACCTAAATGTCCACAAACGAGGAATGGATAAACAATGTGGTACCACCACCCCATGGAACATTACGTAGCAATAAAAAGGAAATACCAATGTAGTGCACCTTATAACATGACCAGACTTTGAAAATATCACGCTGAGCAAATGCCAGAAACAAAAAAAAAACATGTGTATGAGTCCACTTATAAGATGTACTCAGAACTGGTACACTCACAGAGACACAAAGCAAATTAATGGTTTCCAGAGTAGAGAAGAGGTAACAGGAATAACTGCTACTGGGTACAGGTTTTCTTTCAAAAGTAATGAAAGTAATAGTGGCGAGGGCTCTTTAAATCTGAGAATATACTAAAAGCTACTGGAAAGTCAGGCATGATAACACTTGCCTATAATCCCACTACTCAGGAAGCTGAGGTAGGAGGATCAAGAGTTCAAGGCCAGGCCTAGATACATAGCAAATTCAAGACCAGCCAGGGGGCTGGGGATATAGTTCAGTGGCATAAGCACCCGCCTGGCAAGTGCAAGGTCCAGAGTTCGATTCCTGGTACTGGAAAAAAAAAATTATAAACAGTAATTCTGGGCCAGGGATATAGCTTAGTGGCACAGCGCCTGCCTGGCAAGCACAAGGACTTGAGTTCGATTGCCAGTACCAGAAAAATTCTAAAAATTTTAAAAATTAAAAAAATACAAAGTAATTCTTCTACATTAACTTGTTATAGTTTATTGAATTTCCTGTGTTCACATGAATGTAAGATCATAACTGCTAAGTCTTCAAAGTGTAGGAAAAAGATGCTTCAATTCAAATTTGAATTTAAATTTTCCCTTTAAGACAAACACATCTGTTTAATAAAAATCTGAAATTCAAGCCAAATTCAATCACCTGTTCACAAGTACCTGAGCCTCAGTGGCCCCCAGGAAAGTCGTGAGGACAGCCTCACGGCGCACGCGCCCGTCTCACCTTCATGCACAGCTCTGCCTTGTCGAAGCCCATCAGCATGTTGATGATGTCAAACCCAGACGTGGACTTATTCTTCTGATGGACTCCACGAATAAGGGCACACAAGGTCTGCAGAGGTAAGAGAGAATTATTTCCAGGGAGAAGTCTCAAAACTGGAAGAACACTAGGTCTGCGGCCTCACAATCAACCTCAATATCGAATGAGATGAGATTCAGTGAGATTCAAAACACAGCCCAAGGCTCAGCATGTGTAAAACCCAGAAATTAAAAAGGGACACCAACTTCGACTACTTGCATTCTCATTTTTATTTTGCCATCCTTTTCTTGTTATTGTTTTTGGCCAACCTCTTTTTCAAAATTGCACTGCAGAAAGAGATAAACGGTAATATTCAAAATAAAAATTAAAAAAAGATGGTAGACCAGCCATGGTGGTGCACGGCTGTAATCCCAGCACTCAGGAGGCTGAGGCAGGAGGAT